CGCGGTTTTCCTGGGCGTGGCCAAAGCCTTTGACACAGTCTGGGTCGAAGGCCTCCTATACAAACTAACCGTCCTCAACTTCCCGTCTCTTCCTACCTCGCTGACCGGACATTCCAGACATCCTTCCAGTCGGCCACGTCCACACGTCGTACCATGCGGGCTGGAGTTGTGCAGGGCGGAATTCTCTCCCCTGTGTTCTTCAGTCTGTATGTCAACGACATACCCACACCGTCCCGCCACGTCGAGTTAGCACAGAATGCGGACGACACGGCTCTAGTAGCCACGTCCCGTAGCCCAACGCTTCTCGTCGGGTATCTGGAGAACTACCTCAGTAGACTTGAGCTCTGGCTCAGGGCCTGGAGGATTGCTATCAACGTCTCGAAGAGCACCGCGGTTCTCTTCGTTACGGCGAGGAGACGCATCCAACAGCCCAGAGCGGTGCAGTTTCTCGGACAGCCGATCGAATGGGTCAAAACAACGCAGTATCTGGGGGTCACCCTTGACGCCGGGCTTACCTGGTCGGCGCACGTCAACCAGGTGGGAAAGAAGGCGGCGCAACGATTGGGTGTGCTAGGTCCGCTCCTTAACAGGAGAAGTGGCCTGTCCATCAGGAACGGTGTGCTGCTCTATAAGCAGCTCATCCGTCCCATGATGGATTACGCATGCCCGATCTGGTACGTTAGTAAACACCGTGTAAGGCAGATATCGGTTCAGGCACAGACTAGATGCAGTGGACAGTCTGACAGAATCTAGATCTGATACGAATAGGTAAGGAAAACTTTGACGTGAATACGTCTTTAGAATCAGACCGACATATGGGGTAACAGGAAGGAAACGGCGATGTAACGTTTGCAGGGTGATCCATTCCGACACTATAACTTCGTGACTAATAATACGATTGAAATAAATGTGGTCTCGTTCGATGGGATATACGACTACGATGCGAGCATGACCTTGAGTTGGAGCCGCGCATGCACCAGGCGTGGGTGGGGGTCCGCGGCGGCTTTGGGCGTGGGCGAAAATTTCCGGGCAGTATATCTCGCGACTCCGATGTGCTATCGCGCTGATTTTGGTGCCAATCGAAAAATCTCGTCTAGATCTGTCGATGTAAGTGAACTTTGTAAAATATTTGTTGGTGAGAAATCAAAAATAGGTCGTGAAAAATTTAAACTCTCTGATGTCGGCCCATACTCACCGAAAAGCCTAGAGAAAATACAAGCAACGCATCTCATCGGAAAGGGCGTCTAATCAGCCATCGATCAGTACCGCCATGTCCTTGGCGGAACGAGTGAGACGGCTTCGGGAACGTCGGAAAGTCGACGCGGCAAACGACGGCCGATATCGCTGAGCCGATGGAGGCTCCCGCATCTACCGAAGACGACTGCGAGCCCATGGAAGTGGAATTCAACAGAATCGATATCATGCCGAATTCTGTCTCTATCGATCGCTCATGCAATATTCGGAGAGCGTTAAGAAAATCTTTCCCAACTTCGAACCCGACGCGGAAACTCCGTTCGTTTTAACGGGGGACTTCAACGTCGACGTACGACGCAACCAGTCTCTGGTTGAATTCATGCAACGCGAGTTCCGTCTGCAGTATGTGCCAACGACGCCTACAACACTGGGCAACACTACTATAGACTTGGCGTTCGTAAGAAACATTAACATCTCAGTTATGCCCTTTCTTGTCTTACTTCTCTTACCACAGACCAATGCTAAACAAAATTGTCATCGATTACTAGCTAAGACTCTGTGAAGAATCGCAGATAAACATTTTAAGAGTACATAATAAGACACGAGATGAGATTCTGATATAAGTAGTTACTCTTAATGGTTCAACCGGCCGTTCCGCCGGCCGAAGCAGTAGTGGCTGAAACGATCAGAGCGAAAATCCGACAGCCCTGATTAAATCTGATGTTTAATTACATACAAGGCTCTCAGATGGCAATACAAGTTTGTATCAGATATTTTAAAATTTTGTTCATGTTTTCCTTAACAGATAGCTCCTGTAGGCCAACAAAAATATCTTTCGAATAACAAATTAAATACTTTGAGTTCATAAGTTGACTTCGTATTATCCTGAGGAATTTGGCTCTTATTTTTCGCTTTATTATTTGCTAAGATAAGTGTTTTGTTTCCTAATTTTGTTTTTATTTAAATTTTTAGGGTGTTTATTGTAATTTTCGTTGTTTTCTTTACTTTATTATACAGCAAAACTCCTGAAGTTGGACATCTCTATATCCTGGACACCCCTCTACATTCGGCACTTTTAATTGCAACCGGCGAATATCCTATAATTTTACATATCCACAATACCCTATATATTGAACACCCCTTTTGTTGTTAGTTTGTAAAGGTGCATGCATGCTGTAAGCATAGTTAAAAAAATACATTCTGAACATTTAAAATTTCATTGAGGCTGGGGTGTAATGTGCAACCATGAGAGTGGGTTTCAAAAGATTATTATTATTGTCATTAATTCTTAATTTGAGCAAGCCTACAATAGTTAGATTATGTAAGTAAATAGATTACATTGTCGGTAAACGTAAGGTATCGGTGCCCTTCCCTTTGAGCTTATCCATGCAAGTTTAATTTAATGAAAACAAAATTTGTAAAAATTTAATTCACCCTTTCGGTTTTTCTTATTAATAATTTCCTTTTGGGGAAGGGCTCCATAATACATTACAATTACCGCATTGTCATTACACATCAATTTGAAAGGATAATTTTCTCCTTTTCCTCCTTCCTGGACACCTCTGTAAGTTGGACACATTATCCTGGAACCGCAAGCTTCCAAGTTAGAGAGGTTTTACTGTATATATAAGTGTTTTGTTTTCAGAATTTTTGCCTGGGCAATGACTGGTCCCACTTCATGGATGGATGACATAGATATTTTGGATTATTTAGGTATTATAGATAGTGATAGTGACTTTGTTCCTGAAGGTGACTACGATTACACTGAAAGTGATCGAGAAACAACAGGCCCACCTGCGCACATCATGTACTACAGTGAAGAGGATGACATGAATGATGACGACTACAGGGAGATTCTGTCACCTGAGCAACCTCATTCCCTCCCTTTCCAATTCCAAGAATTGACTGGACTTAAACACATGCCACCTCCTAATTCTCCTCCCATGACATTTTATTTTTGTTCGTCACTGATTTTGACGTGAATACGTCTTTAAAATCAGACCGACATATGGGGTACCAGGACGGAAACGGCGATGTAACGTTTGCAGGGTGATCCTTCGTGACTAATAACACGACTGAAATAAATTTGGTCTCGTTCGATCGGGTACACGACTACGATGCGAGCATTATCTTTAGTTGGCGCCGCGCATGCGCGAGGCGCGGGTGGGGGCCCGCGGCGACTGGCGGATATTTTGGGCGTGAGCGAAAATTTCCGGGCAGTATATCTCGCGACTCCGATGTGCTAGCGCGCTGGTTTTGTGCCAAACGAAAGATCTCATCTAGATCTATAGATTTAAAAAGTAAACATTGTAAAATATTTGTTGGTGACAAATCAAAAATAATTCGTGAAAAATTTAAACTTTCTGATGTCGGCCCATACTCACCGAAAAGCCCAGCGGAAATATAAGCAACGTACCTCATCGGAAAGGGCGGTCTATCATGCCGAATTCTGTCTCTATCGATCGCTCATGCAATATTCGGAGAGCGTTAAGAAAATCTTTCCCAACTTCGAACCCGACGCGGAAACTCCGTTCGTTTTAACGGGGGACTTCAACGTCGACGTACGACGCAACCAGTCTCTGGTTGAATTCATGCAACGCGAGTTCCGTCTGCAGTATGTGCCAACGACGCCTACAACACTGGGCAACACTACTATAGACTTGGCGTTCGTAAGAAACATTAACATCTCAGTTACGCCTTTCGTGTCTTACTTCTCTTACCATAGACCAATGCTAAACAAAATTGTCATCGATTACTAGCTAAGACTCTGTATATTTGTTATGCTAAATAAAAGCCATGTATCCATTTTGTTACTTTCATTTCATTCCCATATCCCAAAGAAAATATTAACCGCTAACGCAGACGTATTCAAGTAAAACCCACGGCCGTGTCCCCGACATAGCCACGCCCCGAGTTTTTAAAAAAATATTTTCATTTTCTGCTGAATCGCTCTGTCGATGCTACGCAGTTAAACCAACTGTGAATTGGTGCTGGAGCCTGTTTTGCCAGTAGACATGTCCAGCCTTACTTGATTGGCAAGCAAGGCATGAAGAGAGCGATAAAGGGAAAGGACAAGACGAAAAGCGAATAAGGTAGTCACTTTTGGTAACCTTTCCTCCTTGCCCACATTTGTGTCCAAAGTATGGCATTCAAACTGATAGTTGAACCGTTTAGTACAAGGCGCGACCTCGTTATGTGGTATCGTGTAATTTATATTCTTATTAGGGAAGACTTATATCATTCAGGGTCCAGCGAACGAGCGACTTCAGAGCATAGTTCGTGCTCGGAACCCTTCACACACACAGGACTCACTGAAATCGGTACCGCGGAAGGAAGCAAACTGCTTTCCACAAAAGAAAAGTTGTCAGTGGAACCACGGTTCCGGAGAATTTGACGTAAATACGTCTATACGGAAAGGAAGTTTATATATTGGCTTTATTCTAAATATTTCCTTTATACATGCTTTACATTTGAGATAAGTTTGATTAAGACTTTGCTTAATCAACTTGAATTAGTTACGCTTAAGATGGGTCTGTGGTAGCTGAATGTAATGTAAGGTAAGGTAAGGTAATGTTTTATAGGTAACAACAATGCCGAGTAAACAGATGACGTTTCCTAGGTAACAAAATTGCCGAGAAATGTAACGTTTCCAAGGTAACATAACAATGCAGTTACACTTTTTCCTTTCACTTTTTTGTTTAACTTCTTGCCGAATGACACTGACCCTAAAATATAGACGTATTTACGTCAAAAATCTCATTGTACAAACTGGGTGAGCGAGAACGTTACAATTTTTGCGGGCAGTGAGAAAAGGGCTTTCGTCTCCGTGGGTAGGACCACGCAGTGTAGTTGAAGTTTCAGGTGTGAACTATATCACAGTCAGGCAAGAAAGGTGCACGTTCGTGGTACGTAGAAACCGACAACCTGTTAGTTTAATTTCAGCGCGGCTTGCGGCATTATTGTTAAAGAGCGGTATATATATATCATCACCGCATCAGTTACAGACTTCACAAACCAGACCAAGATCATGTTCAACTTATGGTTCAGAATGGAAACTGAAAATGCACCTGCCACTGCTCTGACTTGCCAGTCCGACCCACCATTAAAGGTTCTAACTGTGTCCAGAATTCATACAACCGGTAATATTATCTCTCAGATCACAAAGAGCAGAGAGGAAGGAACCCATAGCCTGGATCAAGCTTATTCAAAAAAAAATAAGAGGAAATAACTAAAATTTTTAATTTTTATGGGACAATTTCCAAAATTCTGCTTGGCAGACATGAGGACACTGCCTATTATCAACACAAGATAAGCACCTTAGTCGCTAATTAATAGTTGACTGTTGTGCCCATCCAGATCACCTCAAAAACAAAGAAGCCTCTTGACAAATTTTTTTGAGAGACTTATCTCCCGCGTACAATCCTTCCGAAGTTGAGTTCACTACTGAATATGTCTCCTGACGCCTTCAATGTTTCAGGCCTTACCCCTGCATTGGACTTTCTTCGGCTGATGTCACATCGAACGGAACTTTAAGTTTATGACTGCGCAGCAATGCTGCTAATGTACTGAGGAACTGTGAAGATGGAGGAACATCAGAATCCTGGATGGATGTCCACAGAGACAAAGCACCATTGCAGTCTCCACGGCGACCTGTAATGTTTGTTATCATTAATAACACTGTAGTTCTTGTGAAGCATTTCTCAATCAAAGTAATCTCCTGTGACCACATTCATGAATACAAATATTTGATGGGTTGTATTCAGTTTGATCAAACATTTTGGTATGGATGTTCCAAAAACATATGAGGAGCTTCAATTATTAGGCATCCAGCAGTCCAGTTATTTAACTGAACGATGTTAATAAGTAAACATGCGTTCCAGTCAGAAGGAAAGTTAAAGTTCATGAATGCACATACTCTTTACAGCCAAGTTTCATTTAATTGTAAATGCATTGCACGCGCGTGTGCATGTGCGTGCTTGTGTGCACGCGTGAGTGTGATATACATATATACAGAGCCCAGAAGAAAGTATACCAACATGTGGCAGCATTGTGTGCGGCAGCTGTTGGTGAGCAGACTGTGTAATGATGTAATGTTGTTACCGTGGTTACTCAGACACATTGAATCTAAGCATTAGAGAGAGAAAGTTTTTCATTTCTGAGCATTATTTTCACTCACACAGAGTAGACCGAGGTAGTATGCCAAGTGTACAAATGGCACTTGAAAGTTTTAAACAAAACAATCTTCTGAATGTAGTCACTGGCATAGCATCCCTTTCAGGGGTCCCTAGTTATAGGAGGTTGCCCAAGGACCCCACTAAGGCCATGATAGTAGAATGGAAGAGCACCCTCCTTTGCAAGAAGTCATCAGTTCCCAAGGTCATCCAACAGTTGCAGCCACAGGATTCAAGGCCTACTAGACTGTATTGGTTCCAAAAGATCCACAAGGAAGGAGCCTCCCTCACGTCCATCATCAGCAACATCAGCACCTGACCTACTGCCCGGTCCAGTATCTGACTAGGTAGCTCGGTGAATACGTGGGAAACTCTTCATGCCACATGAAGAACTCCACGGAATTCATCAACACCATGAAGTCCCTCCGTGCTGGTCCTCAGAATACTTGCCAGCTTTGATGTCATCTCATTTTTCACCACAGTGCCAATTGTAGAAGTCCTGCAACTCCAGATGAAAACATCTTGAGACTCTACCGCCATGCACTAACCTCTTCCTTTCTCAGTTTCAATGAACAGTTCTACAAGCAGACTGACGGCGTGGCCACGGATTCACCACTATCCCCTGTTAGTACAAACTTTTTCATGGAGCACTTTGAAGAAACGGCTCTGGAGGGGACAAATCACAAGCCTCTTTGCTGATTTTGCTATGTGGTGACATTTTTGTCATCTAACCCCCTGGTCCAGGCAAGCTGTTGGGACTTCTTTGACCACCTAAACAGTGTGCATGAAACATCCAGTTCACTATGGGGACTGAAACAGGTGGCCATCTTCCATTCCTTGACAGTGACATATACTGTAAACTTGGTGGCTGACTGGGCCACAAAGTTTATTGCAAACCCCTACCTCAACTCCAAATCTCACCACCATCTTTCCTAGAAACACACCATTCTCTCCACATACTGGTGTTTATAGCCAGATCCCTTTGTGACCAGGAAAGCTTGCAGAGAAATGGATTCTCTGGACCACTTTCACGCAGAATGGCTACAGTGACCAACAGATTTAATGGGCTCTCAACCCTCTGATGAGAATCACTCTGCCCCTGGAGAAACCTGCCTTGGTTACCTTCCTCTCCTGTGTGAACACAACCTTCAACTGCACCAGCAGGTTGCTGTCCAGGCATATCTCTCCAAAGATCCCTGGTTCCCATTGGCCTGTGAAAGATGACTTGGGACTCGAGACTCCTGATCTGTACAGCGCGTGCCTTGTGAGTGTGGTCAAGTCTGCATCAGGCAGACTGGTCGTTCCATCAAGACCAGAGTCAAGAAGAACCAGCGCCACAAATGCCACGCACATGAGTTACTCATCACCTTGATGGAGGAGGCAAAAGGGACCTCAGAAACATTAGTAAACTTCTACCATACTACACAGTGCTACAACCCAGAAGACAGCCATCTTTAGACTCACCACCATGAAAACATCAAATCCTGAAGCAACATGTGTACTGCAATCCACTGGCTTATGCCTTCATTCAGCTTAAAGACAACATTCAACATGTGCTGCAGTGAAAACCACAGACTTCTATAAAAGGAATGTTTGACAGTCCCCAATGTGAAATGTCTTCAGAATGATGACGCATTTCTTGTGTAATAAGTTACTGTCTACTTCATGTAGAACACATTAATGGCAGTTCCACCTTAAAATACATAATCCTTAATTCAGTATATCTTCTTCTGGGCCATACTGTACATAAACTATGCATTTTCATCCATCCATCCAAACATACTTAAAATTTTAAATACACAAAGACTATTCACAATTTTCCACAGTTATTACGTACAATAAAGCTGCAGCATCATCATATAAACTGGTGCAAAATCCACAGTGGGTATGCCCTTTCCAGCTTCCAAATAGTTTACCAGTGCTTCCAATTTGTCCTCATTAACCAGTTTCCTGAAGCGAGCGAGAAGCAAATTCTTGTTAAGTTTCCCTTGTGGTCCCTGCAATTGTCAAAAGATATATCACCTTCTGCAAGCTGGGAATAAACAAGAGTGTAGCATGTGTGTTGAAATTCAATATTTAATGGTACTTAAATAATTGCCAACCATCACTGTGGATAACTTTACCACAGCACATTCAAAGGCAGCCAGTAAAATTTCCAGCCAAGGAACCAACCAGTCCAGAACTCCAGAAATAAACTGGAATTTACCAGCCATTTAACAAAATCCAATTTCCCATACTCTCCCAGCATGTACCATGCAAGTAACTTTATAAAACATATTTAAAAATGTTATATTAAATATTAAGATCACCAAACAAAAGAAATACATTCCTCGATCTCTGACAACGCAAATAAACTGGAACAACATAAGGGCTATTTAACAACCACATTTAACTAGCCTAATTCAGGATTTCATAGATTTAAATAGTTCCGTCACATAAATATTGGGACGTTACAACTGAAAAGGGATACCAATGCATATTTCATAACCACACTGCCATACACTTAACACACGAGGAATAAGAGGCATAAATCTTGGTTATGTAACAAACTTCTTTTAACAAAGACCGACATTTCTTTGTCTTGGTAAGATACAGCAAACTACAGGTACATTTATTTATGCATAACCTTTCACGATATTGTGACAATATTAAGAGGCTATGTGATGATTTGAATGTTGGCAGTAGCAAAACTTAGTAACTGTAAGGATTAATGAAAACCTCACAATCACTTATAAATAAATTTGTGTACTTTATTTACTTCATGTAATGTGAAATCTATTGTCTGATTTCAATCAAAATTTTATAGAGCTGACAAATTTTAACACAACTGCCCAACACAAAATTTAGTTAAATTTTTTAAAAATAGAAGACTGTTACCATAAGGAAGCGCCTCAGCTCCTTGATCATTCCCTTCTCAGCCAACACCACAGCCAAGGTGACATGTGTACTGGGCCTGCCATGAATCTGGACACAAGCGCTCAGCACCTGCTGCAGTAGTTCTGTAGCCCTCTCTGACGTAACTCCAAATGGTGGGCTGGGCTTCACTTCACCTCCTTGCAGCACAGTTGAATCTGCCCTCACTACCAGCTGACAGAGTAATTCATGCTGCAGGGGCGTTGCTTTGTGTGCCTCTGCACATTGTATAAACTCCTGTACTGCCCCTTCCAGGTCATCCCTAAAAGAACAAGCTACATATAAAGACGTCACACTACCAGATTTATTTCATCTGAATTTTGAAACTGTTGACAATGGACTGGAACATATTTGGACTGTGATTTATTGGGTTATGAGGCCAAGAAATCTTGTAACCTTGTAGGTGGTTACGTGTTTCGGAGGAGCCTGTCAACTCTATCTTCAGGCACACTCTGAAAATGGAGACAATGAACTTCCATCCTGTCACTTCTGTGCGCAAAAATTAATGAAGTTCTTCATATAGGGTTTGTTATTGCCGTCCAATTTGAACCAAAAATGTCCTAAAAAAGAAATTTGTAATGCTAGCGTTCCCATGACAGAAAGGGGCATTAGTTAGAATACATTAATACAATTTTCCAGAGATGTCTGGAAATCACACCTTTGGAATATCTATACAGAGGACACCCCAAATATACATTTATTTTGGGTATATACATTGGGTGCATTAACAGTAAGAAATTTGAAATAAATCATTTATTTCACATTTCATCATGTTATTCACAGTATTTTGTGTCAGGCCTCATAATATCTAGATTTTCTTTTCTGTCCTCGCCATCGATTATACTATGAACTAATATACCATATACTCAGAACACACGACACATTACATGGATGGAGATGAACAGATTCTACTATGCAGTCTTAGTTTCTGCAGTCACATAATTTATGTACCTTCAGGTTGTGTTAGAACACTCTATAAAGCAGAAGGTATAAGGGAAAGGGAGGGAGGGTTGTCATCAGAGTGGCCTGGCCTGTGATTGGTTACCATCATGATCCAGACAGTAGTCAGTCATCGCGGAAATAGATGGAACTGGTCTCATACTGAGAGCCTGAAGTGATTTCTACTGTTTCTTAGATATCAGTTATTTCACGGGCACAGACGACGCAACCACGGCTCGTCGCAGACCAGTGGACTAATAGCTAAGTGCAGAGGACAATACACCAACTCCTGTGAAACCAACATCTAGTGTAGTGTTACTTATTATGGTTTTGTAAAGTACTCACCTTCATGATTTGTTTTAAAACCAAATTTTTTGATCATATATGAATTAATTCCCCTTTTGCCACTGATGATGACCTCTTGAGGTCGAAACACGTTAAAAAAATGGCACTAGTGTCATTTATAGTGTTGACAGTTTGTTTGTTTGCTTATTTTTATATTTAATAGCTTCCTTTATGATGCAGGGCAGGTAGTTAAAAATGTTACCTACACCTTCAGTTTTGTTGCAACCAATTTCATGTTTAATTTCTATAGTATTCAGCCCCGTCATTAGTTCCCCTATTTTGTGTCTCTTATTTGCTTGGAAATATTTATAGCGATGGGTTAACCAATATGCAAAATGTATGCTGTACATAAGTTGCAGTTTTATTTTCAGACTAAAAAATTTGGAGTAAAAAGTACGACCTATACGTTTAAGAATACAACAATTTTCTTTTTGCAGTGTACCAGAGGACTTATCTTTTCTTCTAGGTAACAATTTATTACACTAAACCATGTTCCAATGTTCATTACCTGTTGAGATGAGCTCTGACAACGGGTCCCAGTAAGACATTGCTGACAGAGCAGTACCCAAGCTTTGAAAGTTTTTGCAGCATGATTCTTGTTTGTGTAGGGTCTGCATTCTCTGACAATGCACTAAGAAGCCGCCAGCAGTTGCGCGACATACTGTCACCTCCCTTCACCATGTGTTTCCCTGCATGTTGCTCCAAAACAGCTATAGCAACTAGAGAAAGAACCATACATAATTACAATAAAACAAGACCACATACTGTAATCTTACTTCCACGGTAGGGAAGACGAGGATAAGAAGAGAATAAGGAGGAAACGCAAAAATAGATATTAATGGACGGAATCATGCATTAATTATGAGAACACAGTATCCTCTTAGTATCATAAGATGCTCCCATTGAAATATCAAGGGCAGATCCACACACATGTATCTTCTTCTGGTTTCACAATAATTTTCATTGCAAAATTATCATGTACTGCAACATGTAGAAATGCATATAAAGCCTACATATATCTGTCCTTGCATTAGATCCTCTAGAGGAGACAGCTGGTCCTCCATGTGAAACAGATACAATCGACAGACCAGGATAAAATCCCTGCTAGGAATTTGATACACGCGCATGCGCAAGATTTCACAGTGAGTGACGACCCATCCCAAAAGCATTCGTTCCACAACCACTGAACGAACAACAGGCTTTCATGTGTTCTAATGGGTACAGCTTTAAGATTACCTCACAGTGATTTAATCTAGAATATTATCACAACACCCGCAGAACACAGTACAGGTGCACTCACTACACGCTACTCTTAAACACTTGATGTTTTCAGTCTGTGTGTAGTAGTGTAAAACTCTGACGTATCACACTTCCCGCCAATAGCAGCCCTTTAGTCCACTTGATAGTAAACAATCCCCCTGCACAGCCCCAGACACGACTTCCCCCCACAGAGCTTTTCTCCTGGTCTGTGGACAATAGATGTACCACTTGTAATGAAGTTGGAGGGGGGGGGATACAGAGATAAGCACCATACAGCCAACATAACTACCTGATAAACAATCAAATCAACCAAATTCACTGAATTTTATGTATGTTTTTGGTAAAAATAAAATGTGGTCCATCAATTTGTATAAAGTGGAAACAAATCGAGAAGAAGATAAAATCTGGTACTGTATTGAAAACCTCAGAGCATCAGGAAAATTATGAAAGTTTACAATTTCATACGATAGACAGCACGACTCTGGCAAACAACAAACAAGGCATCCAGACCAAGAATAGAACCCAGCACCTCCTTGAATATGAAGCAGGAGTGCTAACCACTGAGTTGTGATGTTTGGTATGGGAAAAAATGAAATGTACATAAACTATGGTAAGGAAAAAGTGAAGAGGCCTCTTGGAAAACCTTGACTTTAATTAGACAAGAAAGCTTTTGAATGTGAAATTGGTTAAGTTGGCTCAGGAAAGAGCCCAGGTGGTCTTCAGTTAGGCAGAAATGAAGGTTTAGGTTACATAATAGCAGATTTCACTTGATAAGCTCGATAACATCAAATGCTTGAAGACCTTGTGCTATGAAGACAGGATATTTTTACCTTCGGTACGATGTTTCAAAATCAATAATGTGGCATAGTCTATGATCTTGTGTTCATCCAGGACAAAGTTAGGTGCTACACGGTTCAGTTCCTTCAGATTTGTCTCTGCTTCATCTAAATTCCCAACACGGACCATCAAGTCAAACAGCATCGCCAACATTCCTGCAGAGAACTCATAGCCTGCAGCTTCAAATTCTCCTTTGGCTTTGAGAGCTTTCTCCACTTTTCCTTGCCGACAATATTCCTGAATAAGCCGGCGTAGCACCCCACGTCTGTTAAGATCTTTTGACTGTAGTTCCACCAGGTGACACTCCAAGTCTTCCTGGCTCATATCACGCTATAACAAAAGATAGAAGTGTTATGCGCACTTTATTTGATGCCAATATTTTTGCATCGTCATTAGGTAGTACAATTTTGAGCATTTGATATTCAGAATCTCCTCCTGAAACATCATGTCACTTTGACTGATAACTGATGTTCTCTTCATGCTAACATCACACTGTACAGAAAGACCTCCATAAAGCAAAACTCAAGAACAAGAATAGTTGAAGTGTTTGGCCTATTCCAGATCGCAGTTCATATTTTAATATTTTATACTTCTCTGGTCTACATGTTCATGTACTGCAACTCAAAATGTACTGGTACAAAGCTAATCGCAATACACACAGTTCACTATTGAGTCAAGAATTATTTTTCCTGGTCCACAGTCAAATGGACACCACAGTGTTTCAAATAAAAGTTGTAGATCTTAATGAGATCTACATTTTATATAAAGTATCAATTTTTTTGTACAACGAGCTGTTTCTGAGACAAAGTTTTATTGGAGTTTCATACACATAGATGTACAGACAGACACAACCTCCCTATCATGCACTGCATAAAAATTTATTAACCGCCACGGTGGTCTAGCAGTTAGAATGCTGGGCTTGTAATATTGGGGTCCCGGGTTCGATTCCCGGCGGTGCTCAGATTTACAACTTGTGTTGGGCAAGGCCCATGTACTGATGAGTCGTGAATCCTGCTAACCACCAATGCACACCATGCTGAATGGTGTGTACTGGACATGGGGGGAAAAAAAAATTTATTGCAGTAAAACTTCATTCATTAAAAAAATAAAAATAGATAAATAAAAAAATAAAATAAAATACGTACTGTGAATCTCAAATTTTCGTTGTAAATCCAAGCAGACTCTAATACACGAGATAAAGCGACAGGTGAAATGTACACTTGCCTGCTTCTTGAGTTATTTATGCTCGGTTACTACACAGCACCAAAATGCCAGCACCGGCCGTGAATGATTAATTACAAACACCTGGGCATTGTACTGTACCAGCATTTGGCCAGAATATGAATATGAAACAAGAGTGCTAACCACTGCACTGCATTGTTTGGCAGAGTAAACAATTTAAAAGTGTGACTGAACGTTTTATATCAGATTTATGGTAAAATGCATACAGAACTTTGGTGGGAAATCCTTCTGGGCAGACCAAGAATGAGATGGGAGGATAATATCAAGATGAAAATTAGGGAGATGGGCTGTGAGTATGGAAAATGGATAGAGTTGGCCCAGGATCGTAGCCAGTGCCAGGTTTTGGTGTTGGACCTGCGGGTTCTGCTACCAGGGAGTTAGTTTTAGTTAGTTATTTATGGTAAAATATGAGTATTTGCAGTTTAACTTTTAACTTTAAAAACAATATCAAAGTCAACATACAGGATGTGGGATGTCAACAATGAATTGTTCTGATGGTGATATGCTTAGATCACCATTGACTAGTTCATCGACCACAGTCCTCATCTTCTCCATCTTCTCATGGACCAGCCTATACTGCAAGTGGCCCATTACAGAGTCAGCAGCAAATGAAGAGAATTGCAAACGTGCAGTATGAATTGCCTACAACACAAAAATACCAACAATAAAGAGAAAATTAAGTATGAGTATGAAAAATACTGTGTAACATTTACAATATATATGGCAATTTAAGTTTTCTTTTAATGAAAAACTGCAACTGCATGAAATGAACATTAACTAATGCTGTTAAGGGATTTTTGCTTTCAATGTTTACAACCATATGACTATTTATGTCTGTCCGATATATATAAATGATTGCCTGTTACGTCTGGCTAACAGTTTCCTTTATTAGCACGTGTAGTTCTTGATGGTTATTACTGTAAAATGTTGTTGTTGTTTCTCGGCTCTACAACTCTGTCGTGGGTTTTCGCCGCCTCTGCACAATTTCTACTCAATCCTGATTTGACTGCCAGAGCGATCTAGCAGTTAATCAGGAGACTTTGGTGAAAAATGGCTGCTGAATTTTGCTTACGAAACACCTCGTATCATGCTTGTAAGGTTCTTTTACATGCCATAAATCTAATTACTAATTAATAAATTAAATTTGCTCGACCACTCTTAATGTAGACCCTCAATGCCATATTTCAATGAAATTCATTCAGTAGTTTCAAGAATTAAATGTGCAGTTAGACAGACAGGACCTCTCTACTACACATTTCTAGAACAGACACATTACAGAAACCTATAACAAGTCATACCTTCAAAAGCTCACAGAGCTGTTCTGGTTCAGTCCTAATCTTCCTGTACGTAAGAACAGTGAGGACGAACTGCCCTACCCAATCGCTGACATGCACTGCACGACTTGAGGTCATAAGCTGTAGCATCTCCGCTATCAACAGAACTTGTCGTGTAGTCACATATGCCAAAGTGAGAGGCTGTACAAGTTTGCCTGATTGTATCTGTCCCTTAAATGTGGCACCTGTCAGAGAAAATACAGAAAAAAATATATTCCATACAGGAAATGATCTTCCACTTTTCAGTAGTGGAAACTTGATGCTTCCAATATTTATACTCCATTACAGAGGCTTCTGATTCTGAGCTCCATCAAATTTATAGTATCATGTCTTCTGGGTCATGCCACTGTGTGCATTTCAGTCCTGAAGATGGAAGCATTGGAAGTAGTATGTTGCTATCTATATGCAAGTCCACACAGTGTTACAAACCAGAAGACCAACATCAACATCTTCAATGCCAAGAGAACCTCAAATCAATTATAGTACCATATTTATCTGGATAAACAACAAAGTTTTCTTGTAATTGTGAATCTGAAATTAAAGGGGTTGTGCAATAAGAACAAAGCAAAATATTTCAATTGATTAAAATATCTCCATCATCAGCACCACTAAATGCTAAGTGTAGTGACACAATACAGGCAGCCCTCGATCTATGCCGGGGATGCGTTCCTGGACGAACCGGCATAAACGGAATCGGCGTAAATTGAAACTCTTTTATAATGCAAATCAAAGGGAAGTCAATGACATGCATTCCCAGCACCCAAACATTGATGAGTAGTATAATGGCATTACATTTAAAGCTCTGAAATAACGTAAATAAAATAAAGGGAATTTAAAAAATATATTTTATACACTTACAATCGGCAATTCGTTGGTCCCCGCGATTGACTGCGATTCTTTCGCGTGATTGATGTGTACAGTCATCTCTGCTGTTATGCGATAGTTGCATTCATGTAAGACGCCGACCTATAGAAAATCGCGTAGTAAAAATAACCCCGGTACCTCCGCAGAGATTAAATTAGTCCTTTGAAAGTTTAAAGCGCCAGGAATGAAATTGCATAAGAGCAAACTCGCATATGCAAAAGATTGCATTTCACAAACAGCTTTTACCGATTCATCGATCTCATTGGAGCAAATTCGCGTCAACGAAACATACGTAATTGCAGAGATGACTGTATTTATAATTTTCATTCAACATCAGCGATGTAAGAATTACGATTTAGTATAGGTATCAGTACGAGATACATCGTAAAACGTTATAAATAGCAGTAAATTTTTTTTTTCACTTTTTTTCTTGCTGGATTCAAAATCGTCGTTATTCTGAATCGGCGCAAATCGAGGGCTACCTGTACATTAAAACTCTCATCCCATCTATAAATATGTCCCTTCCTACGGTTTACCATCTAGTCTTGTACGCATTTCTTGCTTCTCCGATACAATGTTAGGAGTGAAATTAGTGTTTACTCACACAGTTTAATGGCCATTTCTATATGGCTTGCCCTCAACAGCACTGCCAACACTGGAGTAAGAACCATGCTCACACTGAGACCATAGTCCTGCAGTTTACGGATGACCATCTGCGAGTCAGCTAATGAAACATGAGGCAGGGCATAATCTGCCAATGTATCTACATCTGGAGTCACTTCAAGCCCTTGCATGTGCTCAAGGACATCAAACACACCTACAGACAAACGTATAAACATTTCATGAAATGCGAACTCAAAGGTACAGCTGGTACAACTGTCAGCAAACCAATTGGCGATGGAGTGGACAGCTGAGGTTCTACTTCTGTCACAGGTAGTGACACTCCTCTTCGACACCACATTCAGACCAGCTCCGAGTTTAGAACTAACAGATGCAAGTTTTGTCAGTGTGTACCTTCCTCAAGTCAGACTGCCATGAATTCCAAGGAAACAGACAGATTTACTTCCATAATCTGATGTTTTATATAACATTTTAAACTAGTTGTACATAGTTCCTACAGATTTATCTCCATAATTAAAAGGCATTAACGCGCATAGAGTACAAAGACAAAACTTTACACTGTATGTTATCTGTAACTGCTGGTCCCAGCTGAAAGGAAATATTTCATACTTACATCTATGTACGATACCAGTATGAAGAAAATAGGAAATCATAAATTGTTTTACTTGTTGCTACTTGTAACAATATCCGTACTTCAAATTTAATTTGTTATTGCATTATATTAAATAAACTGTTTGAAATGAAATATACAGAGAGTATTTACTGCAAGGCTTGACAACTGAGACGCCTGAGTACTAATTTGCTATGTGAAATAAAACAAGAATATGTTTTTGCCTTTATTGAATTACTGAGAATGATATACGATATTGCGTGGAATCAAAAAGCATATTACTGTCAACAGGCTCTTTCACTGAGAGCAAAGCTGTCAGATAATGAAGATGATCGCTCACCTTCATCTACTGTGAAAGTCAAGAATGGGTGGTGCTTAGACACAGGGGTTACTTAATCACTCAGTATCACCTCTGAGGAAAAACATACCTTTCTCTCCATCACTTTTGCTTGCTGCAATAAATAATGGCCAAAAGTAGTGTGGCCTCAGTGGAAGACTGCGATCTTTCATGGCATGAAATAATTCCAGTGCAATTTCCACCTTCCCAAAACTCAAAGCTGCGCCTACGGCTTTCTTAAGAGCCAGTGGATTCCTTCCATCTGACACGAGACTGTCTGTCAGCTGCAATATTCTTGATACAGGCTGAAATATAGCAACAGCGCACACAATAATGTTCACCAGTCCCCCTAATAACATTATCATTCCTTAAAAGTCAAGCAGAAGATAAGGAAATTTGCTACTTTCAGCACAAAGACATGAAGTTTCTGAAGGTGCGTACTTGCACAGAGGCTACCGACATTCACTATATGCTTACCACATTAGTCTTAATCATCTCTTGAAATAAGAAAGCTCCGAATGATGGTGAGGTCTCAAACGTTGGTTGTGGGAGAGCATCTAGCACGGAACATGCAGCATCACAATATCCCAAGTGCAAGAGATGAACAGCTGTGTGTTTCACTGCCGTTCTGTTCCCTGAATCAGTTTCTGGCAGCCACTTCAACACCTACAGCAGCATTAACGATTACACTTTATATACAGAGCCTGTCTTCGTCCCACTTCATAACAAGATCCGGTATGATACTGAAATTTTCCCTGTATCTAAACACAGCATGGCCCAACAAATTTTAAAGGTATCCCAGATTATTGAGGTTTATTACCTAAATTATTACAATGTAAAATGCCTCTTATAGGCCTTGTTCAAGGTGGCAATATTATGATGGCTCAAAATAAGGTTTCCAAACATCAGAAATAATGTCATGTAATATGCGGTGCAGTACACAAATATTTCCCCATGAGATCTTATCTCAGTGTGGGATCACAAAAATCCTGCACAGGTATGCAAGTGGCAGTCTAAGATCTGGACTTAAATTAAACATCCACTGCAACACCTCTTCTTCTAGACCTTTTTGTCGCGAGTAAAACAATCTTCTACAATGAAACAATTTCAGGTGCATTCCTTTCACATTTGCAGCGAATTACCTGAAGACAAGAAAACTAATAAATTTCTGTGACATGTAGCAACATACTTATTCTGAGCATGTGCATTCACAGAAGAAGAACTGCCAACAACCAGGCTACTTTATATTGAGCCATACTGTATTAGGTACATACCTCAAAGGACATTAGGAAGTTTTGTATTATACAGTGTGTCGCTACTTTATATTAAGCCATACTGTATTAGGCACATACCTCAAAGGACGTTAGGAAGTTTTGTATTATACAGTGTGTCCACAAAGTCCATTCGGGATTTTGAAAAATTGTGGCGCGCAAACAAATTGAGCTAGCCACATGCGGTTTGCGGCAGATTACAGTGATACTCTGGAAGTTTTTTTTACTGACCTCAGTAGACCTCAATGTGGGCTCCCTTGGGAGCACGGAGAACGTCCATACGATATTCGAGCTCTTGCCATGTTCTGTGGAGCATGTCCGCTGGAATAGCCAAGATCGCATTCCTCATACGGGTCTTCAGGTCATCAAGTCCGTTAACTGGTGTTCGGAACACATAGCTCTTGACACAACCCCACAGGAAAAAAATCCAGTGATGTTATGTCTGGTGAACATGGAGGCCAAGGCATTGGACCGTCTCTGCCGATCCATCTTCCTGGAAATGTCCTGTCTAGGTACGCGCATACCTGCAGACTCCAATGAGGTGGAGCACCATCTTCCAGAGTTTCACTGTAATCTGCCGCAAACCGCATGTGGCTAGCTCAATTTGTTTGCGCACCACAATTTTTCAAAACCCCGAAGGGACTTCGTGGACACACTGTATTTCATCAAAAAATTATTATGGGAAACAAGCCTGCCCTTCGTAAAAATGACCAGCCTCATATTATTGTTCCAGATATCTGATATATATGTTAATATTAAGAATTTTCAATAAGCTGTAATATAAGTAGTACAAATGAACTTACATCTTTCATGATATCCTGATGTCCAGTTGTTACCAGGCTTGTAACTATCTTCATAATATGCTTGTCATTCAGACTGATGTTTTTCGTGGACATTTCTCTGTATATCTTAAGAAGATTTATCTTGTCTCCCACCTCTGCAAAACCTTGTAGTAGAGCAGTGTAGGTGGCAGAAGTTGGTATTATTTCAGCATCATTCATCAAATCAAAAATACCAAGAGAATTTGTCATGTCTCTGCAAAATAATCAGATGTAATAAAGAAATTAGATTCACTAGCTAATCCTAGAATTCAGTAATACAAAATGTAATAATATGAGAATGTTTTCATTCTGCAGATTCTATTTCAATGTACTATCAATGGAAATTAAATATCAGATGGATAGAAAAGGACAATAAAAATTCTCTGAGCATGCTGGCATATTGGCAACACTGGACACGTATTCAGGAGGTACTCAGTTATAACCTAAACAGAATTACTGGTTATCTATTGCACTGTTATTACCTAGCATGACTTTTAGTCAAGAAGCAGCTACACTGGAAACAAATACAAGAAAATTATACATTCGGGGAAACTGATATTTTTAACATAACATGCGCCATGCTCAATTTTATCCATTGTCTAGCATGTTCATGTCGTAATGTGCCGGTGGCACTGGTGAGGCACCTACTTGATGTAATGCAAAAATTCCATAAGATGTTGGATATGCATGATGTCGAGGGTTATCTAAGCACTAAACTACGATGCAGTCCCGTGCCGTAGCCGCACAGTCTGAGGCATCATGCTTCGGACCAGTGATACGGAATGTGCGCTGGTTTGAGTCTCAGGGAAAGAAATTTCTCATGAGCTTTTGACCAGTGTATGGGATCGGTGCCAACCCAGTATCGTGAGGAAATTGGGGAGCTACAATGAGTAGCGTAATCCGGTCAGGAAAACTAGCAATGGCTGGGGGTTCGTCGTGCTGATCACACTTCACCCTATATCTGGTTGGATGATCGTTCACTCTGCTTACCCGGTGTCCTACGTGAGCGATTAAATGCGAGCGGTGCGAGTTGCGTGGGTGAAGCGGAAATATCAAACTGGCTGTTTGTTTGGCACTGTCCTAGGTTACAGCGAAGCGGTCAGCGGCCAAAGCCGAGATCAAATATTTTGATATTTTCGCACGAGTCGCTGCACTGGCCAGTGAGGCACATGCGCAAAAAGCTCTGACCGTGCAGTACATGGAAGGCGCATGCGCAGGAAGGCCGTGTGCTTCTATTGCGGTCTCTCACGTAGGACACAACAAGCGATTCCCTTATTTCATATGACACCCCATACTGCTTATGCAGCTCGCATAGCTCGCTTGTTATCTCTTACGTAGGACATTGCCTTAGGCATGTGAACGTGAGTCCAGCAGCCAGTTAGTCGGCTTTGGCTCTCAGAGGGCTGTTACGCCGTTACAGAGAAACGGTCAGCGGCCAAAGTCTGAGATCAAATATTTTGATATTTTCGCACGAGTCGCTGCACTGGCCAGTGAGGCACATGCGCAAAAAGCTCTGACCGTGCAGTACATGGAAGGCGCATGCGCAGGAAGGCCGTGTGCTTCTATTGCGGTCTCTCACGTAGGACACAACAAGCGATTCCCTTATTTCATATGACACCCCATACTGCTTATGCAGCTCGCATAGCTCGCTTGTTATCTCTTACGTAGGACATTGCCTTAGGCATGTGAACGGGAGGC